GACTGTAACGTGTATAATGCTCAATGCTTTGTACGCTATACAATCAGTGCTTTTTGGGAGCCAACCCCTATATTATGTATGAAGTGAAGGAGTAAAAAATAAAAAACTCAATACACATAATATTATACTATATTACACACATTCACAGAATACACTAACTTTCAGTCAGGGAAAAACGTCACAAACCAGTTAACGAAAAATATTTTGTAAATGTAAAATGATGTAGGGATGGCAGTGCCAAAGAGAATACAAACAAGAATATAGGGATGATATAGCTATACATAGATCATCCCTACACGACTTTCAATATTAAAATTTAATGTTACACTGTAAAAATGCATACTTGACTTCAATATTACTGCAGTTGGAAGATATATATATATTTCTATTGGTATACAGTTTATCATAATGTCACAGTTATATCAGGGTAGGCACCAATGTAGTGTAACAAAGAACCTAGGAATAACGTACAAAGAAAATCAAGTTGAGTCAAAATACGTGATTATTACAGGCTCTCGCTACCATGTCGGTCTAATTGACCGACCTCGTAAACATTATGTATTTGTGCATTTTACATTGTAACATTAAATTTTAACGTTGAAAGTCATGTAGAAATGATCTATACATAGTTGTATCATCACTATATTCTTTTTTGCATTCTCTTTGGCACTGCCTTCCATACATCATTTTACATTTACAAAATGTTTTGTATTACTTGTAAAATATACGATTAAATCATTTAAGTAAAAAAACAAAATTTAATTTTGTAGGTTGACCAGAAAACGCTTTAAAAAGTCCAGAATATGATATACGTGTTTCAAAAACAAAGTTCTAGCATCCAAGTTAAAAAAAAAGAAAGAGTTCAGAAGCACAGTAGTATACTATACAAAAGGTTTCCAGAAAATTTATTTCTTGCAGCCATTTTGTGGGAAGATGTTTTTATCACATGATTTAAGATTCTTCCCTGATTGGTTGGAGGTACAACGTTTCTTTAAAATGTTACCAGTTTTGGAGCAGTGTTCAGAATTCAGTAACCTCTTACCAATTCGTAGAAACTTTTTAACATACATCGGTTAAATTTGTTGCCGAAACAATGTTTTGATATCATGCCCAGATGTTTAATTGTGTTTTGTAAAATTTACAATTATTGCTCAAACTACTCCTTTATTACCCGTTTCATGCCTGAAAAGGTGATGTTTGGATTATACTGTATTTACGTTTTAATATCAGAAAAATTATAAATCCCTTCTTTCCAATTTAATTGTTTTTAATAATTTTCAATGCTAGTTGTAAAAAAAGATATAAAATCAATGTATTTAATGTAGAAATAATAATTTCATTAATACAATAAAGTACAAAATAACTGAAAAGGTAAAGAACATTTTTAGTGAAGGCATTTATAGAAATGTAGGTGGGAGAAACATTTCTGTGATCTTAACCATTTTTGAACGTTTTTCATTACTTCTATTTGTTACTTTCAATAAGCCCCCCAGTGGCACAGAGGTCTGTGGACTTGCAACCCTAGAATCCGGGTTTCGATACCCGTGGTGGGCAGAGCACAGATGGCCAATTGTGTAGCTTTGTGCTTAATTATAAACAAACAATCAAATACTTTCAATAAACACAGGACTAGTTCTCTTTATTTATTTTTATTTCTTTGGGTGTTAAAATGTTCTGAAAGAAAAAATTGAGCCATTAAAATGCTACTCTTGAAAAACGATTTTGACAGAATTGTCTCAAATCAATTAAATTTACTACCAAATAAAATTAATTATATCCAAAAAACACAGCCTTAAAACGAATAGTTTTATTCGCTAAAATAAAATGAAATTTGTAATATAAAATTGCTTAAATTTTCATGAATGCACAAGTACACCAATTGTCTCTCCTCTCCTAGACAAACTTAAAGCTGTCCTTCTGATGAGAACTGATAAATGTAGTTTTCAGCTAATTAAAATATGGGTTTTTACTTTCCAATATGTTTTATATTACAAACACATCAATAGGGACCATTGTTTACAGTTTCATTGCTGTGTGCATTGGTATATGATAATATATTTGTTACACTGACTCATTTTATTAAAACATTTTAATTGTTGCACAGTGGCACTACAGGATAAATAAAGTAAATGAAGATTTTTGAAATTATAATAAATAATTAAAAACAACGTTTCGTGTTTACACAATAAAACCTTTATTGAAGCCATCCGGCTTCCACTTTAAAATAGAAATATTACTCTACACGTACATGTTTCGACGTGATCTACGTACAAGGAGTAACGTACAAGACTATTTTATACTTCCCCTTGTCGCATTACTTCATTGTTATTTGCACATTTCCTTAGTGTAAATGAAAAAAAAAATTATAACATATCTCGCCATATATCAACGTATTGACTTGCTGGTCCTTCGTCTCTCTTTAGTACTTCTTTTCGTTTTTATATTTCATTATTTCGAATGTTTCTCTAACATTTAATGATATTGTTACGACAGCGGAGGTCACGTGACGCTAGTAACACGCCACGC